GTCCATTATATCAGGCATAGGCAAACTCGGCCCTCCAGATGTTTTGAGACTACAATTTCCATCATCCCTGACCCTGGGTCTTGTTAGCTAGGGATGATGGGAGTTGTAGTCTCAAAACATCTGGAGGGCTGAGTTTGCCTATGCCTGCATTATATCCTGGTACTCTTTACAGTATAGGCAAGTGTTCAGTACCATCACACTGGAATGAATTCATATGCCTTCCAGGAACAAGAGCTTCACCAACTTGTGACCAAAAAATATATCTAAAAAAAAAGTTTAGAGAGATGGAAGGTGAATAAAGAAAGCTGCCTCTTTTTTATATGTGTATATATATATATATATATATATATATATGGACTTGTCAAGTTTGAAACATGTCAGGTCATTTTTGAGAGAAAATACATTTGGGCATTTTCTCGTTGATTTTCTTCTGTTGAAGTAAAAAATAACTGTTCCCTAGGCTGGGGTCTCTACACTGGGAAAGCCAGTCAAAGAAGGCTAAGTTTTTGGATCCTTGCTCCCACCCCTACCCAGTCATACACAGCCTCTTCTTAGGTGGGCTGGGGAGTGTGATGATCAGGCTCTGTTTTGTTGTACAAACTTTATAAGGCACTGTATATCTGCTGCTGCGGACCAGGGGGGTTTTCCTACCATAGGTGCTTGCCTTTAGTCTAGGGTTGCCATATTTCAAAAAGTGAAAATCCAGACACAAAAGTTATCAAGCTTTTCAGGGTGGGTGTGGGTGTGTGCACACACGCAAAGTAGCTGGGCGCTTTTCTTTCTTTCTTTCTTTTTTGAAACAGTACAAGCCCCTCTCTCCAGCACTGACACTTTTTGCTGAAGAGAAGAGTACAAATGCTATGAACAAACAGATAGATAAAGAGACTTCAACGTGGAGGAAGATCTTGTAAAGAGGACCCAGATCATATTCAGGGGCAGAGACTTGCGCCACATATCCGTCTTCCATTGCTGCAAATGTATGAACTGGGGCACTGCAGATATAATCTAGAAAACACAACTTTAATCTTTTAAGCTTTTCCTACTCCTCCCAGAAACTACAAATCACCTCTTCTAGTCTTGTTGTGTTTCATATGAACACACTCTTCCACAGTGGTCATAATAATTTCACTGGGTATCATCCTTGTAAGTCATGCTGATTAATACAACAGGGAGGCTAATACAGCCAATACAGTACAAGTATATATTACAGCATGCCCCCTTCGTACTTTGTTTATTTAGTGCTGTTGCCTTCGCTCATCAAGAGGATGAGACGCTGACAAACTAATGAAAAAATATTCCCACTTGGTTGCACATTAGATGTCAGTTGCATTTTACGCCTGACCTACTTGACAATGTGTTGCTGCTGTCATGAGTGCCAACATTCATGAAAGTAGGTAAGGTGAACACTAATCTAACTTTCAACGGTGAGCAACTGTATGGGGGGGCAAGGTTTCAATGATAATCCATGCAGCTCTTTTTCAAACAGAAACAAGAAGCTCAGAGTTCAACCAGAACTTATCTTCAAGAATCAGAAGCCCAAAGCTTTAAGCATAGTACCTGTGGTCACCAGGGTTTGCCCAGTCCCAAGGGCACCCTTGAAACACAGTATAATGTCCATGACAAACCAAAGGGCTTAGAGGTGAGCAGAGTCTTGCTGGCTTTCTCCATGTTGCCTGTTGCATTTCCAAAATTCCAATTGCCCACTGGATGCAAAAACTAGCTTCCACCCACATTTGGGGGCGTGGAAGGAGCAGAAAACACCAAGAGTGGAGGTCAGCCATACCTCTCTGCAGCTCCTGTATTGCAGCCCTGTCTGACAACTTGCCATGACAGGGTGGCAGCGTGTGAGCACAATTGTTGGATCTGTTTGGATAGCAGCTCTGCAGAACTGAAATGTATTTTAAACCTCATCCACTGAAGAACAGCCATAATATGCTTTGCTTTACTACTTTGTTAAACTCAGAATTCCAGAAAAAGCAGCACAATAACTTATTTTGATGGGCAGTCATAGGAAGAATACAGCTTTATGGAGTTTCATGAGACACACACTGGAGATAAAAATACTATTAATTTTTTCCCTCAGCTGTGAATGGAACACACACTTTTCTTTACAAGAGTTAGAAAGTGGGTCTCAGGTTTGTTCTTAACAAGAGCATTGAACCTTCTAAACTCCATCTCCCCACCACACAGCTGATACAGTTTCAAATGAATTAAGCCCATCTAATCAATCAGTTGTGGCAGAACACTTCAAAGCAAAAGATGGCTACAAGATAGCAGTTAACTTGAGGCACATTAATGATCTCCAAGGAGAAATCACAATCCTTCGTTTCTCTTCATTCTGTAGAATGAAGCAACTGGAAATATGATATAAAAGCAGGCAGCCATGCAGGCTCTGGCTATTTACAGAAGCAGAAGAGGAAACAGAGCTTGACCTCATGCTGCAGTTTAAAGTATAGGGACACTTCTGTGAGGCACTCATTTGTGTCAAACTATCATATGGGAACAATTAACACACTAGAAAAAGATGCGTGTGTTGAGTGGCCCAGCAGCACAAGTGCTTTTTCTGTGAGCTAAATGAAAGTATCAATCATTCTCATGTGGACACTTTCAGCCATGAAAGTGACTCTCCCATCTCATTAGATTGTAATATGAGGGAATAAGCTGCCAAAGACAGAGAATGCCCAGATGTCAACATTAAAATCTGGACACAAAAAAGCTCTAATCCTGCACTGTAGGTGGTATAAAATCCAAATGAGCTAGAGAACAAAATTTCTCACCCAGTGCATCACCTGGAGATGCATATACAATTATTTTGTTTTTATAACTCCAGGCTGTGAATGCCACTCACACAAATGAAGTGCCAGAGGTCCCTGCCATGAAGGCATTACAGTCAAAAATTCAACAAAGAGGAAACATAGGAAGTAGATATGTTTATCTCAGTCATACATATTTAAATGTGTATGGAGTGTTAGGGGAGGGGTAGTACCTCTGATGGGGGACATGCCATGCTCCTTCTGAGGTAGCCTATACATCTTTGGTCCCCACCCTGCACTCAGCTATCACCTGTGACTCCTAGAAGCTGTTGGCAAGCAACAGCAGCCACATTTGGGAATGGCTTCAACTGGCTGGCTAAACCAGGTGAGGGTAGCCAATGGGTCCCAAACCCTCTGTGAATTACAGACTGCACCTGCGTGCCGAAACAGGCTTTGGCAGACTGAGTGGACAAAACCAAGAATTCGTTCAACGGTCAAGAAGGTTGTTTCTGCACTTGCTGTAGAGGGAAGTGAGGGGCAGATGGAGCTAGTCAACCTGGGAAGGTATCTCATCTAAAAGATGGAAAACTGATGTTTTCAGACATTTTTTATTTCAAATTAAAATCACAGGCCCAAGTGCCTTAAAAGCATACAAACAAGCTTTGGTTATTTCAAGAAATGAGTTGATTGTCTCGAAATGTATATGTAATTGTTTCTCTGTGCCATGTTTTACCAACTAGCTGAATAATTGTAGACTAATAAATAATATATGTTGGATGTAGTAACTTACTCTGCCCAGAGGACTCATTGGATGTGCAGCATAATCCGATGTCAAATTATAGTGTGCAGCTTCACCTATCATGTTTACTTGCCGGTCTTTCTTTTCTTCAGATGACATAGTTGCTGCAGTCCTGAAAATAGAATATGCAACAAAACTAGAACCTGCTGTGTATGTAGACTGCTATTAAAAAAGCATCTGTAGCTGTCCTTTCGTAAAGGGTATATATGCTATTCATACAATTTCCCAGATGCTGCAGCAGAACTGTGCAAATCTTTAAAGAAGAAACTATGTTGTTAAATTATGCTTTGTGGATTTTCAATAGATCAGTCTCTAAAAATAGAACAACTGCAATCTAGACAATTTATTTACATACATGCACGACATTATCCCTAAGGTATAGTGAAGCTTTTGGTTTCTTTTCCAGAGGATCTCCTGCCTTTCTTTCTCCTACTTCCAGCACTACCTTCTCATGCCTGCATGAGTACTGGAAAAGAACGAAAAGGCTTGGATGAATTTGGTATGCACATTCTCCTGGATACACAAACCTGTATTAACAGAACGACTGACCACTTTAGTAACTCAGCTGCATACAAATGCTTAGAAAATCTATGCAAAATGAAGTTACAGGTTGATTCGCTGTAGCTGTAAGCCTTTGCAATGGATGAGTTCAGGTATGCCTAGAGCAATCAAGAGCTTGGGAAGACTTCCATTCCTCCTGCATTCTTTGAGAGGCCAATCTCTATCCCTCAAGTATTGATCCAGGCATACAAGTATATTACTGATACTGTTAGAACTACAACTAGAAGGTAAACTTAATTACTCTGCTCTTTTTAAAGATCTGAATTTCTTGAATGACAGCAAAATCACCAGAGACAAATAAGGAAATGCTGGTAGTCAAAAGGAGAGAGAAGTCAAGAGGATAGCAGGGAAATATTAGTAAGCCAAATGCATCTAGGAGGAGCAGGGTTGAGAAGCTATGCAAGGAAAAGCAAAAGTCAGGCCAAGAGAGCAAAGCTGAAGTCTGATCTGTGAATATGCTGGACAGTAGACCGTAGAGCTTCAAAACAAGCTTGAGACAGTTTGGACTGGGGAAAACAGCAAACTGATTGTGTACTAAGCCATCCACAAAATGAACAGAGAGGATGAACTGGTGAAAAGTATGTGGTCTTGTGATATGGGGGGGGGGGGGATTAAATAACGAGGATGCTCTTTTTAATCACCTTCCACAACCCAGGAGAATAACAGTATCTTGATTGTGTTGGGAGGGTCAGTAGTTTAGTACTGGATCTTAAGTTTTCCAGCCATTATGGCCTGTTTGGTTTTCAATAAATGCACCATTTATGGCACTGATTGCTATAACATGGCAACAGTGGTGATGACACTCATTCAGGCTTCATTTTAGTGAACAATGAATGACGACCAAATGGAGTGGGGTGGGATAATCAAATAGAACAGGAGTGGGGAATCTCAAGATGTTGCTGAAATACAACTCCTGTCAGCCCCAGCAAACAGGACCAATGACCAGAGCTTATGAGAGTTGTAGTTCAGCAACATCTGGAGGGTCAAAGGCTCCCTACTCAGTGCAGTATAGTACAGCATAGTGATCTCACCAAAACTGATTTACCCTCTTGGTAAGCAAACAGAATGGTTCTAAACATGCCTGTACCCACAAAGGAAAGGCACGGTGGAGTAGTTTCAAACTTAAAAAGCTTAAATTCTAAACCTTTTGCCCAGCCCTTGCTTCTTTTTAAAAAATTCGCTACTGAACATGTAATTAACAACAAAAACATGCTAATCCTACAACTTGATCTAAAATGCAAGAAGCAGAAATATACAGAAAACATTCAACAATTAAAATAAGTCAACTTAAAACATTAATTTAGTAGAAATGTATCTTGTGCCTAGTATAAAATTTTTACCCAACTTATGATGTGCACATATGCATGTCTGTGGACCACTTCCTAAAAGCAGGAAAAGCAAGGAAGTATTCAGTCTTTCTTTTGCTATGAGGTCATGACATTATGGACATTATGTAATATAAAAGACAGACTGACCTACATAAGGGCATTCTTGGCTACTTGGAATGTTTGAAAAATAACATGCAGTCATCTGGCCAGTCAATTGACAATATTTGACTGGTCAACTGACTGGCAGTTCCACACTAACGTGAATAACTGTTAAATTCTGTATTCATTGAGCAAAACAATCACTTACTGTTCATTCACAACAAAAATGCAGTTGTCCTGCGATGGCTGCCCTGTGACTGGATGCTTGCAAGTCACTTTTCGTTCATTGTGACTGTGGGGAGACAAAGTAGAGGAAATATATAAGCACATTACTCTTTTCTAAGCACAACTGCAAAATTCCGAGACAGCAGGCAGGCAGATTCATTATGGCATTAATTAGTGCATACGTGCAGCTTCTCACAGTGATACAGTAACAACAACTGATGATACTTGAGGCAGGATATTTTTATTTTTAAACTCAAGCGTTTGGCAATCCTTTAGAGCTTAGCATAGAACATTTGTGGTAAGCATTCCCTCTCTATCCACATTAAGCCTGGATATAGTTAGAAGTTTATTTTTTTAAGGTTGCAGACTAATGTTTTAACCCATGAATGAATATAAGCAGTGTGAGCAGTGGCTATCAACACAAGTTTTGATGGCTGACACTCTGGGCTACATGAAAAGTAAAGGCACATCTTGGGGGGAGGGCAGATATCATTACAGAATTAAAGGGGGGGATCTTGAAAGAAGAATGAGAAGTCAGTTAGTTTGCCATCATATTCCTCATGAATACATCCCCTATTCAGATTTGTATGGCGGAAGCCAGTTACTGTTTATATACACACATACTTTGAGGGGAAAAGAATATATGCATGCATTAAATGTGTGTGTGCCAGCAAGTACAAAACAAAAATATCTGTAATAAAGAAGCACAGAAACCTGGATAACACTGGTAGAGCTGGCAGAGCACAGTGGTTAAGAAAGTGTATTAACTTTAAGGCCCTGGTTCAATTCTCATCCTGGCCATGGATTCGTTGTGTGTCACACCTTTTCAGCCTCCTTACTGGAAACAGGTAGATAACAATCAGCCTACCTTGCCAGGATTGCTTACAATGCCCTTGTTCATGTGAAATGCTAGCTCAAATTATGGCAAGCCTGCCAGTGCACAGGGAGAAAGAGGTGCCTATTTTGCTGCTCCCCCACTCCTGCTGTACTCACCCCAGGCTCATTATTGTTTGCTTCACTCCGAACAAACCACAAACAGCAGCTGCAGCCCCTGTCCCCGCCCCATGGTACCAGCCTAATGGCTGGGCTTACTGTTACATGCCAACAAGGCCAATATACAAGTAATGCTTTGACGCTTTAGGAAAACTAGAAGGCTGGTTCGCATTTTTGTTTTACTGATTGAAAGTACTCCCAACTCTGCAACACACTTGTATTGAAATCAAATTTTTAAGTCTTTTTCGGGCTGACATCCTACTTGGAAAAATTCAGTCTAGCATTTTCCAGTGTTTTGCAAAGTTGTACATGGCACTTATCAATGGCATTTCCGTGCACTCTGGCTTCCATCATGGTGTCCTGTTGTGTCAGATGCAGTTTAGTTATGTTGGTCACATGACCCGGAAAGCTGTCTGCGGACAAACGCTGGCTCGCTTGGCCTGAAAAGTGAGATGAGCACCGTACCCCATAGTTGCCTTTGACTGGACTTAACTGTCCAGGGGTCCTTTACCTTTTTACATTTACCTGCATGGCACTATGATTGTGTATCACCAACTTTTCTGCCACACTATTCGGGCTTAGTCATTTAAATAAAAATCTGAATTTGATATGCTGCTCACCTTCAAAAACCCCTGGAGACTTACCTTCAGCAAGATAATCCTAGTAATTCCCTGGTTGGTACTTTTGTTAAAACTCTTTAGATCTTAATCACTTTGCAATTTCACACAGTCATGCTCTAATCATAAGTCCCGTTCCACACAAAAACCTACAGTACAAAATTAAAAGCTTTGTTCCTTGGCAAGAAGCATGATAAATACCACTTATAATAAATGCAAAGGGGTGAACAATTAGTCTCTTTTAGAACTTACATCCCTTATGCAGAAAGGCAATGTTCAGTGATTTAAAGGTTCCCACAATGCCTATGATACATAAAAAATGGGGCGACATCAGCCCTGGCACTGAACTTGGCTAACAATCACAATTGTCATGTGTTTACATTTAATGCCTGATGAAGTTTATTTTGGGAAACTGCTTCTGCATCCTGAGTATATCTGAGTATCTTGGCTGTGAGTCTTGAAAGACCTGCACCCTGGCCTGGGAGGGCAGAGCCCTGACTGACTCCAGCTACAAAAGCTGAGGCTGCTGGACAGAATATTGGATTAGGATATTGTGTCTTTTTTGGGATGCTGCTTTTATTGATATATTTTTTGTATATTTTTAGATCTTATTATGATTTATGTGGAAATTGTTCAGTTTGGTTGTGTGTGTATGTATGTTTTTTCTTAATAGAGGGGAACAGAAATTCAGTCAATTCCTAGGATTAAAATCTGTAAAATCCTTAACTTGTAAAAACACATAGTCTTCTAGTCTAGAACAATATGGATGTGGTTCATATATTGGTCCAATTTTCACTTATTTGAAATTTATCAAATCTTATCTCTTGTAAAGAGTTACCGTCAGTATGCATCAGGAATAAAGAGCAGCATATTCTTTCCATACAGAATGGTTCCTTTCACTATGGTTCTTCTAGGATGGAATAATTCAGAAATTTCAACACCACAAATAGGATCGTGGGAAATCAGGGTCTCTTTCACATGCAGGTGACCCAACCATGACACAAGGCAAGGTAGCCAGAGATTTTGCATGACATAAATGGCAAGAGAATAGAAGACAGGCAGATCTGTCCCATAGAGTAAAATCATCTAAGACATTATCCAGTGTAACTTCCACTGAAATGAATGAAAGCTGTCCTAAATATATTACCATGTGGCGTGCTAATTAGGAGGGGGTGCTATTTGAATTTTCCATTTCTGGTACAGCACTAGTTTGTCCCCACTTTCCTCATTCATGCCTGGGTGCTGGAAGGTAACCCTAGGTGTTTGCTGTTATGCTCATTTAACCTCACTGTTCCAGAATTCAACAGCAGTCCTGCCTTCTGAAGTCTGCACACAGTTGAAAGCAGAAACATGACAAGTCAAAGCATTAGTTACATGACAGCCATGAATACACCCACTGCCAGAAGAAGACTGGGATGACAGCCTGTGCTTACTGTTGGGAACAGTAGCTTCTGTGCTACATCTTGACAACACCATTTTAAAAGAGGTGTAGAGGGGTGTGTGTGAGTGTGTGTGTGAGTGTGTGTAAGAGCAAGTAGATTTTTAAGGAAAGGGGAGATTATATTGCAAACACAAACCAAAGGTAAGAGAAATTGTTCTTAGAAAACCCGCTTTCTTTATGATCAACTGTTATGTACTGCCACATTTTCCTCAACATTGAAGGATAAATGTGGAATGCACAGATTTTTCTCAGTTGCAAAGAGGGTGATTTCCCTGTTTTATTGTAATTTTGTCTGCTTTATTGTCTACTGTAAGCTGCCTTAAAAACCATGGAAGGAGGCTTTTCAAAAACAAAGTTCCAATTTAAAACAATGGAAGAAAAAGGCCCTTAATGTGGAGAAACTTGCTGATGTGTTCACTTCAGGCCACTGTGAAGCCAGAAAAGCTTCACCCATTTTGCATGGTGGAATACTGTCACATCAGAAGACATGAAGTGGGTACAATTACAACACAGTGCCTACAGGATGAATGAATGCTGTCATGTTATCCACCTATGAGGCAGATGCTGAACACACAGACAAACATGCATCTCTCTCTGAGAAAACAGCCCACGCATGTTACAGTTCAGAGTAGAAGATTGCAATCATATGCATAGGTACTTGTAAGGAAGCCCTGCTGAACTGGGTAGGATTCCTAAGTAAACATGTGAAAGACTAGGTTATATGTCAGATTTGGGCCCAAAGACGTACTCAGATGCAAAGTCTGACACATTTAGTTCAAGGGCATTTCAAGGGCATATGTTAATGCATGCTGATTGATTCAAATATTGATCCAAATCACTCAGTAAAACTGCTTTTTAAAAATACATGTGTGGGTGTGCATACAGGGTTATTTTGGTTCCCTGAAAGCTGAATTTCTTTCACTATTTTAGTGTATGTATTCAAACAGTTTTTCAGCAGTGCAGAAATGTCAGCACACAATTCTCATTTTCACAGCATAAAAGTCATTTGTTTATATCCAGAATCTATACTGGTGAAATCAATATTGAAAACAACACCCTCTATCTGAGTACCTATAGTTAACTATATAACTCAGTGACCCACAAAGAACTTCACTGTAAGGCTACAGAGGCAATCACTTCACTAATTAACAGTAACCAATTAGCTTTTGATTTGAATATTCGTGTTCCACTTGCACAACTCAAAACTGCAATTCCACTTTCCACTGTGCTCTTATTCTAGACAGACATTCCTAAAGCTTCCTAAGAAAAATAATTCAA